CTTTATAATTTTTTTCTTTTTTTTTAAAAAAAAAAGTAGTATATAGTAATATATTTTTCTTGCAGAATATTTTCATTTCATTATTTTAAATCATGTATAAGAAAGTTAATCATAGTTATAAATCATATGAATAATTTTATGAATATTTATTGTTATTATTGTATTACTATATTACTTTTTACAAATAGCATTTGTTAAACCTTTATTTTTCACTTATTTTTCACTTGTAGTGATATGAACACAATTTTTTTGAAATAATTGTAATATAATCAATTTTAACATAGGCAAAGAAATCTCATATAACAATGTTTAATAATACAAATCATTTTTTTTTCATCTAAATCTAAACGGTTTCATTATCACAATGGTTGGTTTTTAAGTGATTACATATATACTTATATAAGGATTTTTTATAGGTTTTTTTTATCAATTTCGGAAAATTCGGAAAATTCGGAAAATTAACTTTGCGATCAATTATCATTATTGAACAAATTCTGAAATTATTTTAATACAATTTACAAAGGTACATTTTTCAAATCAAAAGACCTAAGATTTTAGCAATCTCGGTTTATGGGATTTTAATTGATTCATACGTAGTTGTTAAAGTTGAGTCTACTTTATTAAAGAATTAACTACTCATAAATAGACATTATATATGTGAGTTAATATGTCTCACACAAAAAAATTGACTAGCGATTATTATGTTAGTTCAAATAGTAATTTAGTATATGTTAACTACTTGACTGATTTGATTTGATTAGTTTGATGATCACCCTAACAGCTAAAGTTCAGTTATCTAAACAGTTTTTAACATGTTTAGTTAATGTTAAAAAAATAATTACAGTCCTCACCTTAACATTAAAATAACTAAGATATATCAGATTAAGGTTAACCTATTTTTTGCATGTTTCTATTTAACGCTATTTAACGCTATTTAACACTAACACTAGATTGGCAGACTGGGAACGGGATCTGTAGATTTGTGATTTATGGCGTTTTATAAGGAATATGCGTTTAAAAAAGTTATTAATAATATTGCATCAAATCAAATCACAAAATCCACATGTCCCAAGCATTAGTCGTCTAATCTAATAATGACGAGTTTACAAATCGGAAGTTTTTTTTAGTCAAGATCTTTATCACATGATATAAATTCCCGCATTAAAAGAAATCCTGATGATGGAAATTTCATAAAAAAGTACGGACCATTAAATGTTAATAATACTATAAAGTTTTTAAGTAAATAAATGATACCATATTTACCTAGATTCTTCAAATATTTGTTAAAGGGATTTTTTTTTTTTTTTTAATCTACCTAAAGTTAGAATTCTATGAATAAACGTATTATATATAATATTATATATAATAAATGATATATACTATAATATATAATAATACGTATACGTATAATAATATATAATAATATCTATATAATCATATATATATATAATAATATAATAATATGTTGATCAATACCATAACCATTATTTAAAAACTTTTTTAGAATGTGAATAAGTGTGAATGATATAACAAATATATTACCGATAAATGAATTCATTGAATTTCTTAATATTCCAAGAATACTCCCCAAGGGTTAATGTTGATAAAGCACATGCGAACGCAGAATTTCAAAGTTGGGAGTTGATTAACGTTTAATAATAACGATAATAATTTAATCATTAATTAAATGATTATTAATAATGTAGTCACAATACTGATACCTAATATCACAAACAAAATTCGAAATTCTATGATTACTACAGATCGTTTCACAATCAGTACATGTAGTACACGATGAGGTAATTGATATGAGATATGAGTGAAAAAAAAGGGATAGATAGATGTTTACGCAATGAGTGGCCAAAAAAACTCTTAGAAAAGAAAAAATGAACATATATATACTCTAAATAAACACCAATAATGGATTAATAGTTAAAACTTGTAATATTTAATCTCTATATCGATATCTGATATATAAATATATATATATATATGTATATATATATGTATGTGTAGATGTATATATATATGTATGTGTAGATGTATATATATATATATGTATATATCTGGTTTTTTTTTTTCAAACTAAACTATAAATGCATACTTTTCATTTTTTTAATAGTCTCTTGTATTTTTTTTTTTACTAAAGTTTTCATGTATGTATTACTCAGTCTACGCAGCATACGTAGCAGGTAGGGCAAAATCGGAAAATATTTTCTTTGAACTTCCAATAATCGACTTTGTACATAATAAATGATCGGGGGCTGGGTTTGTTTCAATATCGATATAAATATGTATTTTTTTTTTGTACAAGCTAAAATTACTGTAAAAATGGTAATTGCAGGCCCCACTCCTTCTCGGATCCACTTTAGGGAAAAATTTCATGTAAACCATTTCGGAAAAGTCCAAAGTAAGCCTCCTTCTAAAGAGTACCCAATGTAAATTTAAGGGGACTATCTCCTTTGTGCATCTCTTTGCAAATTTCAATAAAAGCCCACCTTTAACGGCTTTGTAGACCTCGAATAACAAAACTTAAATCTATTTGTAAATACGTATTTTTTCAAATCTCGTTACGTATATGCGTATATAAATCTATAAATACTTAACGATAAACATAACGATATATTTATTACCAGGCACATACATAAATCCATATATATACCTAAATTAAAATTAGAGTTGTAATTCATTTATTCAAATTCCAATTCAACCATGGTTCCCCAACCTATCGTTACTTCTGATGAGAAAGAGCAAATCAGGTTATCTTCATTAGAATTACGAATAACTGAATTTGAAAATACTTTCTTAAGATCTGCTAATGCTAGTTTAGAGAAACGAGTTGTAGAATTGGAAAATTCGTTAAAAGAATCTACTAAAGAATGTGTTAAATTACGGGAAATGATTGCAAATGGTCCGGTTCATCGTAAAAAATATTTTGGAAAAAATGGTTCTGGTGAACCAAATTATGGTCCTGAAGGTTCTGATAGTTCTGATAGTTTCGATAGTTCGGATGGTTCTGAAGATTCGGAGGGTTCGGAAAGTTCTGATGATAGCTCTCTTCGTGAGTTCACTTTATCTAAAAAATATGAATTCGAAAGTGTATATGGTCGAATAGTAAAACTCGTCGAAGATATGAAGTCAGAAGGTGTAAAGGCGGTCAACCTTAAAATTCCTTCGGTATCGAATTTACCTAAATTTCCTGCAAAACCAAGTCCTGCTAATAATAGTAGACCTGGAACTCCAAAAAATCAAGTCCCCATTGCTTCTTCACCAGCAAGATCAAGGGCTTCAAGTGTATCAAATAATACTTCAAGATCAAGGGCTTCAAGTATATCAAATAATACTTCAATTCCTTCTAGATGTAATACTCCTTCTAGTGGTATAAAAATACCTTCAACTGCTATGAATGCTTTGAATGCTGTGAGTGCCGCAAATGCTGCTGCTAGCAGTCCAATAACATCTACAAAGTCGCAAACTCCATTAAAAGTTCAAAATTTATCATCACCAAATTCTCATACTTCTTCTAGACCAACTACACCTTCTAATCTTTCTAGACCAATTACACCTTCTACTCTTTCTATTGGTCAGAATAATTCTGTTAATTCTGTATCACATTTAAATTCAAAAATGCCATTACGATCAAGAACTCCAATTTGGCCAAGTTGTAGTAATTCCTCAAGACCTAGCACTCCTAACAGTTCTAATATCAATTCTAATACTACATCTGCTACATCTGACGTTCTTAACACTCATAATATCCCAAATATTTCTATTACTCAATCACCGTTGTGCAATGATATTACTTCAAATATACCTGATGTTAATTCATCGGTTCTTGCTGCTAAATCTACTGGTATCCCAATGTACGCCCAAATGACTCGTAAACAAGCAATTGTTTAATATTGTCATAGGTATTTGTTGATTTTGCTTTGTGTGATCATAAATTTTGCATAAGTTTGTTTTATTCATATGCTGATCAAACAATTTATTTGTAGTGCTTATTAATCAAATTGCAAGTGTAACTTTGCTGAGTGTGTTGCGCGGGCGTCTTACCCCTCGGCTACTTGACCTACGTACGATACTTTGTATGGTTTACAATAAAGGTTACAATAAAGGTCTTGGAAAATTATCGTACCCATCTTTGGTCAAGTTACCATTATGTATCATTATGTTTTAAGGAAGTTTAATTATCATCTTGTTCAAGATTGACCAATCTGCTTCCATCAAGATAGCATCATAATTTGCTTATCTTTACTGTAAGCTTCCATCAATATAGCATAAGTTACTTATCTTTACTGTAAAATAGAAATTTAAATCCTAAAATGTATTTATATTATATATATCTTTTTTTATACCTCCTTTTTGTGTAAATTTTTACG